CGAGGAATCACTGGTAATAACTATAATTTTCTCTACTTTTCTTACCAGTGTCCAACTGCAAGTTTGTTCACTTGCTAATCTGCAACTCCTCAGTCGAGCACTTTCCTCGATTGAACGATTGGACGCACACTATGCAGGATGTGCTCACATGAGTAGTTGCACACTTGCAGGGGAACACCTACAGAGTTTAACACTACTTGAGAATGCACAACTACGGAGTATCTAACCTGCAGTTGGACACTCGCAAGAGTCAAGCAGTTGCACACTCAGTTTAACAGTGTAATTGGGAATCCGGAATTTACGAATTGTTTACATTTTTAAAAGTGATGCGTATCTGCCGGGGATTTGCTCTGGGAGGGTTGCAAAGCATAGGACCCTTCTCAATCCTCGCCCTGATCCTTCCCATGGAGAAGACCGGTTCGGCTACACCGGAGCCAACACCGGAATTCTCATTTTGTCTCAAATTTCGCAAAATAAACGTTGCCTCAAACGAAAGCCAACACCGTTTTTCACTCGGAGTCGTCTGTAAAGAAACAGCAGCACAGATGCTTGGCTGTCCCGCGCCCCTGTCGCGTTCCGCTCCGCGCCTTGACCTGCGAGATGATGTAGGCTCGCGGGACTTTTTCATGGCCCAAGGCGCCCCAAAGACGGGGCTGTCCGAAGCGCTACTTTGGAATCTGCGTAGCGTAGCTGCGAGAGGGGGGAAGGGGGGCAAAAAGAGGGGGGGGGGGCAGTCATGAATACAGCCAAGCAGTCGCGGGTCATGGCATTTTATTACACCTCGGTTATACAGCCTTCCATTGCGGGGGGTGGGGGTTGGGGGATGAGAGACGCCGCTTTACAACACCCAAGACCACGAGTGAGTGTGCTCCAGCAGGTGCGTCGCAGGCTGAGAGGAGAAAAATCCACGGCATGAACAACGGTTTTGAACTGTATTTACATCTTCTACGACCTGCCGAAAGCAACATATTATGGGTAACGACCTGGATACCAGGAGTTGTATTTGTATTACTCCAAAACACCATTTGCTGTCCTCTCCTTTGGCAATCCTCAACAAGTGTGTACTTGCTATACTACAGACCCATGTGTGTACGTTACACTCTACATGTAAGGAACAAATTTTTTGCCTTAAAAAAACCGTTTTTTCTGCCCATCCATACCGGATGCATTTTGCTGCTAAAAATATACACACTGTGTATAGGTTTACACAGTTTGTCAAATTATTATTTTTTTTAAAATGACGAAATTTCAATTGCACTATAAAATTTTACCTGCACTGGTAAAAAAAGTGTTTAATTTTGCACGTCAATTGACGTTTAAGTTCAAGTGTGCATTTTTTCGACACTTGTGGTGTCGAACTATGTTATACGTCAATTGGGGTTTAAACTTTCGACACTTCCAAAACGTATAGCAGCTGCACACCGTATGGTTCCCTATTGACAGCATAGAGCTGTGTGTGTCCAAGTGTGCAGAATTTAAACGTTTACAAAACGTCTAAAATTTGCACACCATGCAAGTGTGCAACTTGAGTTAAACAAAACACCATGTAATGTGCTAATTCACAACTTGCACACGTTTGGTGTGCAAATATTGCACAGTTGTGTGTCATTTCACAGAATCGCCGGATAACGTTGTCAACAATTACATCACTTCCTCATGGTATATATTGTAAGATGTTGTTACGTATCTCGCTAAGATACATATAATGGCACCAATATCTCAAAACAGTCGAAAATGTTGCTTCGGATGTTCTCCAGCCGGGCTAATGCAGATCGAACATTCTCCAAACGACGCTTGTAGATCGGACATTCTCTGGGCGACCGTCGTAGAACGGACTTTCTGGCATGGGGGCGACGAAGGGATTATTATAATTTGAAATTTATTGAAATTAACGGTCTTTGAACCCTTTTAAACAAATGAAGAACTTCGAAAATATTCCGAATTTTATTGGTAAGTAATCCTACAGTGACCTGTTTACCCCTCGGCACGGTATCACAGGAGGAGGGGTAGGCTGGCACCCGACCCGACCCCTGCTCATCCTTGCTTGGCCCAAAAGACGCCCTCCCATCCCCACCCCCAGGACCTCGTGTGTCCTTCAGAGATAATGAGCGATAAATAGAAGACGCACGGCGCGACGCACAACACCGAGGGAGCTCCTAGGCGTGGCGTGGCGAGGCCAGGCTGGAGGCTGCTGTGTCGACATTTTCCTTGAGCAGAAAAGGGAGTCGGCGACGCCCGTGCCCGCCCCCCCGCCCCCTCCCCCCAGGATTACTCGGAATCAATTACTGCGTTTGTTCGGCGCAAACTCGGCGCACTAGGTGACTTTGGAGGGTTGAAGGAGTCCACCTCCCCTCGAGAGCGGGAGAAACCTGCATTCATATTGTTTGCTTGTAGTTGCTCGTGGTCGTAAAGGGTGGAGGTGCATCATTGTGATGAAAACTAGGCCATATATGTGACTCTCAAAACGCTTATTGAGAGAAGGAAGCACAGGGCTAGGGACTTAGCTCCTAACATTGTCGGCAATTTTGCGCGTGGGGCTCGACGAGAACTTGAGCAGAGTGCGGCCGGAATGTAAGAGCGTGGTGGGCGAGGCGTGGCGCGACGCGGCGTGGCCTAGCGGGGTGAGGCGGCGGGGGCAAAACGCTCTGCCGGTCCTGTAATTAAAAACACAATCTCTTCCACCAACAGCTCGCCCCGGCCCCCTCCCTCACCCGACCAGTGCGCGGTGCTGTGTCCC